ATGCTGGTTGACTGCCGATTACCTATTGATTGCAACTTCCATTCTGCATAGTCTGATGTTAGACGCGAGTTCGGCAACTGTATAAGCGGTTCTTATATGTGTGCCACAGGCTAAAAGTCGAACAACAGCCTTTGTCTATAAGACTAACATTACTATGGAGAGGACTGAAGCCAAGTCCTGGGCCCTTGAACTATAAAAAACACAAGTTCTGTGGAACTCGGTACATATTATTCCCACGCATCGAGCAGCGGAAATAGGAGCCGTGGACTTCCGCGGATTCTGTGACCGCTGCGAAACATCAGTTCAGCTACCTGAAGAGAGGAACGGAAGCGAGAAATACCGGTTCTTTCCTGTGATCTGACAACTGAGATCGGTTGATCAAGGAGGGCCGTAACGAGGCCTGAACCTTACGACAACAATGCACGACTGAATTTATCTACAAAATGTTACCCTGGTAACTACCGCGAACGGTAATGGTTGGTGGAATTAGATCAATCGAGCTTAAATGTTGCAAATCCTGAAGAGCTGGGATGAACGGTCTGTTGCGAGATTGGACAAGACACATTCACGAAAATTAGAGGCCTTGGCTATTACATTATTATGCAAAAGCTCATTGGACAAAGCTGACATGCCACGTGAATGAGAGTGTGCCATTACAAAATCGGCGTTCACAAAATGGATATACACAAACCAGAGATACGTAAAGAGGTTAATCATTATTCTATGACCGAGTAGGACATACAGCTTGTGCTAAAGGATACCGTCTTTGAGAGGCTGACGCCCGCAGACTGGCCATCATAACTGTTTAAACTTCCCCTAATGACTGCAAGTGATGCGGAGCAACTCAGTTAGCACCATGTTCTCCAAACAAACTGGACCAAGTTCATCGACATTTGATCCACTTCTGACAGTAGACCATTCATCAGCAAAAATACCTGGGTTTCTTTTTACTCTGAATCGGCTTCAACACTTACAGAGAAAGCGGACAGAATTTATTCTGATCCACAAATCCGACGGGCCAACACGCGAATCACACCCGGTCGGTAAGCCTTGATTTCGCTTCAAAGCAGTCATTATTCTGAGATCGAGATGGTTTCTTTTTACTCTGAATCGGCTTCAACACGTAAAGAGAAAGCGGACAGAATGTATTCTGATCCACAAAACTGACGGGCCAACGTGCGAATCACATCCGATCGGTAAGCCCTGATTTTGCTTCAAAGCAGTCATTATTCTGAGATTCAGATTAGTCATAGCGCCTAGCGGCTTTCTGTTCTCGACTTATAACAACCACCTGGTTGAGCGTTACCGCCTTCCACAGCACCAAGTCTTCTACATACATAAGAGAGCTAGAAGTGGTGTGCTGTAGCGTACAATCTAAACATCCTCGGGTACAAAGCAGATCCTTGAGGCAAAGCTGCGCATTTTCTGTGGGTGATCACTTATGTTTAATTAACCAGTGTCCATCCTCCGAAGAAGTTCACTGAGATATCCATTATTGAGGTCACAACGAGTAACTTTCGTCAGTGACCCGTGGTTTGAACCCTTCCTAGAGTTACACTTAAGCCCAAAACGTTTAATTCAGAGAGGCCTTTCGCGTTCCCAAAACTCTGGTTGATGTCAATTTTTTAACACCTTACAACCTGTTCGACTCTACGGTGTTCTTTTGCTGAATTGCGACCCAAGCGGCTCGGCGGAATCAGATGGCTTGTCTTCTTAAATTCCCAAAAACTAGACATGTGCTGCAGCCTCTTTTAGCTTATATTATGCTCTTTGCTCTTTTGCCCGAATTCTTCTCAATAATCCGAAAACCGATGAACATCCATTTGATGAGTGTGCAAAAACCACAAATGAAACAGTTGTGGACTTACCAGTATCAACGCCACCTCTTGTAAATGATCGCAAATACGAGGACAATATCTCTGTAGAATATTCCAGTGTCGTCCATTAGGTTGATTCACATATCGTACTTTTCTTCCAACCTGTTGAAATTCGACCCTATTTTATTTGGACCTCAGCAGGTCTGCTCATCTTTGTTGCAGGATGGATCATGTTTTTGCTGGATTTTCTGAGGATTATGACTCCACACCTCAAATGTTTGTTAGTGAGAGCAGGAAAATCTTGGTTGCAACGGTTTTTCTCCATCACAGCGGCTGGAATGCTTGCTTTCGCCATTTCTGCCGAGTGAGAAAAGCCTGATGCCAGTTTGAGATGAAGATTCGCATGGCTCTCTGCAAGGATGAGCAGTGTGGGCTACTAGAATCACTGTGTTGGGCAACACTTTTACCAGAGCTTCTGTCGGACGCCGAAGCCATTCTGTTAGCTGCGGAATTCATACGTTGTCCTAGTGACCGCAGTAATTATGTGAATAATAATCATGCCTAATCAAGACTGGTGTGTGGCATGCCTTTGGACACGTCATGACAGTACACTTAGAAGACAGCTCAACAGACGCCAGCTGCGGGTTTATAGCAATAAGCCAGCCACAAAGATGTAGACACTGCCAAAATCAAATGCGGTTTTTCCAAGGGTGACACAACCTAAACACCACGTACATTGGGGACTGTGTAGATAAATTGATATGGGCATTGTATGGCGTGAAGTTTTGAGCCAGTGAAAAAGAAATTCGAGATGATGGAATTGGAATTTTGGGGAATTGCAAATATACGGTCAGCGTTTTGAACCAAAACTGGTGACAGTCACACAAAGAGAATGATCCCGAGCGGTTGGAGAAGCAGCCCAGTAGCGAAATGGGGATGGTGAACCACACAAGAATGATAAATTTATTTCACAACTTACAAAGAACATGCCAAATTAGGCATGATCGGATTGCTGTAGCCTGAATGCGGCGGGCACAGAGACAACAGGAAGGAAAGTACAACCTATGATAGAAGCTTGTCACACGAAAAGCCATCGGAGTTGTGCAAACAAAAATACTGGAAAAATGGGGCGTACGACTAGAAAATACTGGAAAAATGGGGCATAAGGTACGACTAGTTCAATGATTAGGTCGGTTGACTTGAACTAAAACTTAAAAACCATTGCTGGCAACGGGTGACCTTGTGCGGTAGACTGAAGGGTGAAGGACCTAAACAGCTGCATTAGAGAGGGAGATGGGAAAACTCAAAGTGGAGACGAACGGTAAGTCTCGTTTACATTGAAACTGAGAAAACTCACTGAAGTAGCTGAGGGAGGTCAGGTGTAAAGGACGTTTTTGATGGGTGGCGCTTATGCATGGGGCCGAACGAACACCGTAAGGAAATCGCTGAACTCATGGAACAGGCTAACTGAACTTGCGGTGGAAACCAGGATGGTAAAATCAGAACCCATCCCAGAGGCGGTTTTAGTCGGGTGAGCAACTCGTTCATAGTCGAAATCATAGCCTCAAAAAGGGCTGCGGGGTGGCGGTTGAGATTACGTAGAAATAGTCATGAGAGTGCCATCAGCCTGGTGCTGCATCACCATTGCATTGACAGTCCCGCGACGGACGTCAAGTTTGCGCCAATCGAATAGGGACTGCACATTCCTGTGGCAGCTGGATCTGGAATGAACGACCCGATCGACACGAGTAAAGATGGGCCGATATGGGGTCATATATAATTTTGAATCATTTGGAGGACAGTGTGTTTGAAACGAGGACCGGCCAGAATGGAATGTTGGCTGAACGAGCGTTTGGAGGGACTGCAGTCGAAGTTTAAAGCTTGAGAGCAGGAGGGAAATGGCGTCTGGTGAGTGTCCGGAGACCGCAGATAAAACGGTGTCCAGTAAAAGAGAAGAGTCTTAAACGGGATGACGGCAACCTGAATTATCCTTCGAAAGAGTGGATTTTTGTTGGCTGACATAGTAATCAAGGTTTATTGAGGATTGGACAGCGCGAGCTTTGTTCATCGGCATAGGGCTATTTTACAAGACCTCACGCACACGAAATAAAACGACGCATTTCTTCATGCCCCCATCCCTCGGTTCTTGGCGCCATTATGTCCCAGGCGATTTCAACAAGCCACGTTTGATCAGACGATAACGATTTTTCCACAAATAGGCCCGGACCTTCTTCCACACACGGGTAATTCTGACAGATACATGAATACCCCACCAACCTGAACATGTTCGGTTTTCTACTAGTACTGACCGCATATTGTACCCCACCGTCTTCCGCAAACGTCCGTGCCCCCATCACTGAAATCGCCCCTCACACACGCAGTGGCCAGAGCCTCTTATATTTACAATCTCTGTTATGACCTGCTGTCCTGCGTCCTTCTCTTCACCGTGAAAAATACCCAGAAATGAGTGGATCGACGTAATACACAACGTGAATGCTGTTGTTGCCCTTCTTCGAGGTTGGGCAATATCGCCCATTACCGAAACAATGTCCGACACGCCTGCCTGGTTCAGTCCCCTAATTGCCCCATCAGCAACTCAACGGCGAAAATAACTTGGCCAGTTTCGACGTCTCTTGAACCGAAAGCATGAGACGTGTGCCAGTTACCCAAGAGTAGACTGGCAGATATGACAACGACTTCTAAATTTAAAGTCGCCGACAAATCGGCTCTATCCGGCATGTCCCATAAGTGACAAGTAAGGATATGCGGGTCATCCCTGTTCTGTCTGCTCAGGCAGACTATCATCATATACTCAGTGTCCCGAATGCTCAAAAAGACTCGTACTAGGACAAGCGCTTTAGATCTGACTACAGCATGCCTCTCTATTGCTAAGGCATTCAGGGTCCCTTATTATCACAACTTAATTTTCGAAATTTATGAATCGACTACCTCTAATCGGGTGCGAAGCTAGAATATCCCCTGGCCCTGACCGCTTGACGAAGACCGCCTTCCCTCTGCCTGGAAGGAAGCGATTGTCGCGCCAATCTACGAAACTGGTGACCATCTATCGCCTGGCAGCTATAGGCCTATAAGCCTCACTAGCGTGCCGTGCAAGGTGATGGAACGCATTCTGAAGCAAGCTATCCTAGTTCACCTTACCTTCAGCTATCTGATATCTCCAGCTCAACACGCATTTCTCCCAAACCGCCCTTGTGTGGCAAACATGCTCGTGTTTATGGACAGCCTAACCCAAGCCAAGCGTGAGGGATTCATATTGGGTGCCATATTTTTCAACTTCTCAAAAGCATTTGATAGGGTCCCACACGTCCCGCTGCTCCACAAACTCGAGTCTTACGGGATTCAAGGG